TGATTCATTCTGTTCTCTACTTGGTGTTAATGCATGGGTTGAAGCTCCAAATTTGTTATGGGTATGGAATTGACTTAGGGTATAGTTCTTTGTCAATATGTAGTTCAAAAGGAAAGAAAAGAAAAAAAAAATAACTAATTTTGTATTAAACTAAAAGTAAATGTCCCTTCCCTTTTGGGATTGTGGTTGACAAAATTTTGAACCCCACAAAACGCTATTCGAGCTAAAAAATATCTAAAACACTAGAATAAATTGTGATTTTGGTCCATATTATTTACTAAAAAATACATGTTTGGTCCAATTTTTCTCATCCTTACAACTGGTTCAAATTTGAAACTTCTACATAAATTTGGTTCTATATGGATTTGGTTGATTCAGTTAACTTCTCTTAAGTTGGTCACATACACGACACCTCCTCATATGAGATGTATTTGTCATTTTAGTTTATTTATTTCCTGTTATTTATTTATTTAAAATTAAAAACTTCTCGCCCACACTACTAACATAGCCACCGCACCAGGGTTCATGAGGTGGTCGGTGAAACCCCTCAAATTTGTAGTGCAATGTAAATTTTTTGGGAATTTTTAAGGTGTATCACGATCTAAAATGTGCTAACCTTGAAATTTTGTCTTGTGTCAACCTCTCTCTCTATATATATATATATATATATATATATATATATATATATATAATGACATGACATGACATGACAGTTTTATTGGGGCCTAGTTTGTTAATTAATTAAATGTTTAAATAATTAATAAGAAACTTATAGAGTTAAGTGGTTCAAGTGTAAAGATCTGTAAGTCAGATGTTTAGTATAATTACCAAACTTATGGATAATTATTTAGTGACCAAGTAATTATCTCATAATGTTCAAAACTCTCCTTATAAATAAAGGAGCCTTAGAATGAAACGCGAGTGATTTCCAACCCTAAATTCGAGTACCCTCTTCCCAATCTCGAAAATCTCCCAAACCTCAAAGATGTGGCGCGTCGACGACGAATCAAGAATCAGTTTTGGTGTTCAGTGTATTCATCTGATCTAGAAGTGTCAAGGTTGTTGATCTACTTTTCGAATGCGACTACGAAAAAATGGTTCTGGTTTTCGCTCTTTGCATCCTCTCCATCAAGAACTATGAAGATTTCAAATGACTGCAAGGGTATGTATTCATTATTATGCTTCTTTATTTTAGTTGTATTAAATTTGGTTAAACTTGGATCCTCAATTGAATTATGAGATCATTTTAATATTGCTTATGTTGTGTCTTTGTTGCTCTGTTGTATCCCCACAACCCAACAACGATTATACGACAATATTATTTTTTGGACAGAGAAAATATATAGTTAAGTAGAGAAAATGAAATAAAACTACAATAGAGAAAAAGAAATAAAATTATAGTAAAGTAACGTACATATTACCAAAGTAACATTTTTTTTATGGAAATTTGTTAATTCCAAATATCACATGTGTTTATTCCAATAATAATCTATCCAAAAGAGATTGTTATTTGCATAAAATTCAAACACATGTATGGTAAAATGTGACAATTTTTCCATGTTAATATTAAATTAGTACTATAAGTTTTTTAAAAAGTTTTAAGAGATTTCTTTTTAAAAATTAAATTAAAGGAAAAGCTTTATTCATACCTTATATTTAAAACAAAATTTTCAAAATTTAAAAGTTACTTCAAATAAATAGTTTTCTAGAGCTTTTAGGATTTTAGAGATTTTAAGTTTTAATTTTTAGATAATTTTACTTTTAAAAACTTTCAGCTAGTTTATTGAATACTTAAACTTTGTTTGACGTGATTACAACTAGCTAATATGTTAGATTTTTTTAAGCATTTTTAAGTTATTATGTTGGACAAACAAAAAGTAATTTATAAGATAGCTATTTAGATTAGCTTTTCAAGATTTTTTTTTAATATTTTAAATATATCAATAATTAATTAGAAAAAAACATGTTTCTCTAAAAATCAATTTATGCCATTTTATATCTATAGTTAATTTTATGAAATGTTATTTTTTTATCTATTATCAGCTAATTTTTCATATAACAATTAATTTTTCAGTTATTATACCTAACATATTCATAAATAAAAACTACGTATCTATGAATGAAAGTAAGAAGAACTGCTTTCAATTAAAATTCCAACTAAAAACTGTTTATTTATATCAAGAAAACCACATATTAAGTTGGACTAAATTCTCACACGTAAGCAAATTTGACCTTATCTCTTTAAGTCTTAACCATGTTCCCTTTGTTGTATGTCATCTCGACATTGGATGGAATTCGAAATTGAAAAGACAAATATAGCATTATAATAATATTATTAAATTGAGAAAATACAAAAATCATACTTGTAATAATATATATAAAATCATGAATCCCAACTCTTAAAAAAATTATTTAACTTTTAGATCGTCTAACTTAAGGCTCCATCTATTAAGTTTATATAAATTATAAAACAATAGTTTTATCTTCATATTTTGTTTATGAAAGTTGAAGGAGTTAAAGAAAAACTATGTAAAAAAATGTAAGGACTATTCGGATAATAAAACTATTAAAAGGATGATATCGAAAATTTCAATATACATAAAGGACGATTCGTATAAATTATATTTAACATTTCATATTTTCGACTGTTTTATGATTTTATCACTGTGCGTAAATTTGTTCTGGATCCTACTTATATCTCCGCTCTCCCTCTTCCACAAATCTCATCCTTGAAATCAAGTTTTCTTCCTCCAAATTCATCACAGATCAAAAGAAATTTCAACAACATGTTAAAGGGAACTAAGAATTACCTGAGAATGACAACTGATCCAACTGCATCAGAAGCAGCATCCAAGTTAATCAACTCAGATTTGAAAGAAATCGGAGATGCTACCATGAAACTAGCCGATCATGTCATGAAGCTCGGAGTCACTGGTGGTTTCATTACTACCAGTCTTCAATGGTTCGCTTGCTTCGCTGCCATGTAAGTAAAGTAAATTTCATCATCATCATCTTCATCATCATCATCGTCGAGTTTATTTGATTTTGAACAGATCGTAATTAATTTTTGCTTGATGTGTTGTGTTTACAGTTATTTGCTGATACTAGATCGAACAAACTGGAGGACGAACATGCTAACTGCACTTTTAGTCCCTTACATCTTCTTGACTCTTCCTAATTGGCTCTTCGGAATTTTGCAGTAACGTATCCGACGATCGAAATTATCTCTCTATTCATCCTTCTACGAGTTTTAATCAAATTGTTTCGTTTTTTCAGCGGAGATATCGGGAAATGGATCACTTTAGCCGGAGTCGTATTGCGTCTCTTCTTCCGTGAACATTATCCAGGTCTAGTTACAATAACACAATCGGTTTCAATTTCACTCATCCCCAATTTGATCCGATGTGATCTAAAAAACTCCGTTTCTGTTTTCAATCAATTTCGTTTTTATGAAATCAAAGCTCATCACGATTGTTCTGAAAATGCAGAGTATCTAGAATTGCCGGGATCTTTGCTCCTATTGGTTGTGGTAGCTCCAAGCTTCGTCGCCGGCTATGTGAGATCAGAGTGGATCGGAGTGGTTGTTTGCTTGGGTATCGGATGCTATTTGCTTCAAGAACACATCAGAGCTTCTGGAGGATTCAGGAATGCATTTACCAAAAGCAACGGAATTTCCAATTCCATCGGTATCGTCCTCTTATTTGTCTTCCCAGTTTGGGCTTTGCTCGGCTTACTGTAATTTAACACCAGTCTTGTTTTCTGTGTATTCGTTAATCATTCATGAATCCTTCGATATTGATTATGTGTGTATTGAATGTCTCTTTGTGTTAATGTAATTTAAGCCTTTTTTGTTTGTTTGATTTGAATCCATACCTACTGGGTTTGATTATGTTCTACATGGTGTTAATGACTTAATGGATCGATTTTGTTCAAAGGGTATATTCAATGGTTTTGTTTGCTTTTGAAGACAATGGCATCTAACAAGATGTCTAAACATAATTAGTTAACAGTTTCAACTTTTAACTTTCAAGATTTAATGTTATACAAACTATTTCTTTGTTTCTAGTAAGCGCCCTTTTAAAATAAAAAAAAAAAAAAAAAAAAAGCCAGGATATTTCTTTGTTTCTGGTAGGCACTGCCGCTCTAGGCACGTTGTTTCCATCTATATAAGTATTTAAAAAGGTAACCAATTTTCAATATTATTTATATGTAGTAAGTTGAAAAAGAAAATGGTCGTTGATTTATTTTTGAATTATTTGAAATTGTTTACATTTTATTTTTATGATTGGTTACAATTGATCATAAAGATAAAATATGAATAATTCTAAATATATCAGGCATAAATCAAATCTGGAAAAAAATTAAAAATTTGTTACCATTTCTCAATATTACATAAATAAATACTTTTACCTTGATAAATCACATTTTTATGTTTTTTATTTCAGGACTTCTTAATAAATTTTATTACATTATTTTTAAGCTTTAAATAATATATTTATTTTCACTACAAGATTTAAGGGCATAACCGACGACATATGTCACCGCCAAAGGTATCAAGAGTTGTCGCAATTACCTTTACTGGTGACATTCTGCAACTAATATGTCATTGATAATGTTTCGTTGAAACTTTTCCGGCTTTATATCTCTTGATATAGGTTGAAACAGATGTTTTGTATATAATGCAAAGTTGTAGAAAACGCTAGACGTTAGCTAGTCGGTGGACTGGGGTATAGGGATTAATCGGCTTGGCGGAGATTAATCGGATACCATTAATTATTAAGAAAATTATTCAAAAATTTATAAATCTAAGTTTAATCTTAAGAATATAAGTAAATAAGGATAAAAGTTTAATAATAACTTAATAAGTTTAAGAAGCACAACAAATCATCATCCAAAATAAGCATAAAAGTTTAATAATAAGTTTAACTAAGACACAAAATCATCATCCAACAAGTCCATTAATAAGTTTAAATAGCTCAAAAATAAACACACATTTTCTTCTAATCTTCTCCGCATACTTCCATTATTTGAACCACATCCGACTCGTATTTGTCTTCTTCTAATACTTGCTCTTCACTTTCGGACTCGAAATCTTCATCTAAAAGTTCCCTCGTTCTTGGACTTTCTCGGGGTGCTTGACTAACATCGGTTGCTAGAGCTTCATCAACCGTTTTTGGGTCTACTTCATCTACATCACAATCATCGCAATCAACAATCCATTCTTGAGCCGAGAAAGAATGATTTGCTAATAGCACTTCCATGTTTCTATCTTTTCTCCTTTTGTTTTTTTCCATTAAATTAGCATCGAATTGAACATAAACAAGATTGTTCAATTTGCTTGTCTCCAATCTATTTCGTTTCTTCGTATGTACCTACAAATTTAAAGACAACAAATACTTTAAACATGCTTAATATTTAAATTTTATAAAATAGAAATTTAATGCTTTATATTACTAACCCCTTCAAATGTGCTCCAATTCCTTTCACAACCCGAGGAACTACTAGTTAAAGAAAGAATCTCATTGCAATCTTTGTCAAATGAGGAGTTGTGCCACCAAATAGTCCCCACCAACTAGCTATGGTTTTGAAACAAAAACACGTTATTAATCGATAAATATCAAAATTTTATAAAATAGATAAGTAGATAACTAAAAGGAAAACGAATTACCCGGATCAAAGTCGGCATCGTTCACTTTACAATGTTTAATTGCAAGATCGCAACTAAATCTATCAACTTTTTTCTTGTACTTTGGCAAGTCAATAGTTACGACTTGCCTTTGCATCTCTAAATCTCCACGAAATAATGTATCAAAAAAATCAAGAACCGCATCCATTACATCGGGATCATATTGGAGTTGTGGATCCTTATAATGATAATATGGATTCAAAAGATAAGATGTTAAATGTAAAGTTGAATCTAGCCGACCTTTCATCTTTGTGTTTATGATATCTATAATAGGCTTGTAATGTTTCTCGTTTCCACCCAAAGATTTGATAATTTCTTCTTTTGCAACTTTAATCTCCCCGTAAACAAAACCCATTGAGGGCTTCCAATCCGCATCAACCATTCAAACGACTTTCACCAAAGGGGAGAACACCTTTAAACATTGTGTCACACCGGACCAAAATTGGACACTTGTCACCGTTTTATACGAGGCGATCCCTTTAGGCTTACCGGAAAATTTACATTCGTCTCATTCATTGCTAGAGAACATATGTCTTAGTTGTTCCTTTTTTCGGACAAACTTTGTAATGTTAGAAAGGCGGAAGCAAATCTTGTGACTCTCGGTCGGATAATTTCCCTTTTGTTGGTGTAACTTCTCATCATCGCCAAGGTTTTGTGGTGAGCATAAATGAATATGGTTAGTTTCTTTGCTTGATCTGGGATTTTCTTAAACCTTGGGAGTGCTCTGATACCTTGAAAAAATAAACACGATTAAATAACAAATTATAATATACGATTAAACATTTTTAAACTAAATAAAGTAATAAACAAATAAAATAATAAATACAACAAATAAACAAAATAATGTAAATACCTTCAAGCATAAGTTTAATGGTATGTGTCGCACATGATGTCCAAAAAATAGATGGTCTTTTCTCTTTTAGCAACTTCGCCGCCCCCATATTATTTGTGGCATTATCGGTCACAACTTGAACAACATTCTCGGGACCAACTTGTTGTATACAAGATTCCACATACTCATATATGTGTTGGCTTGTATGTGCTTCACTGGAACATTCTTTTGAAGATAAAAAAACGGTACCCATCTTCGAATTAACACATAAATTCATTATGCTTCTCCTCTTTCGATCGGACCAAGCATCCGTTATAATCGAGCATCCATCCTCTTTCCATTCATTTTCGTTTTTTTTTTCAATAAATTTTTTGTTCTTTCAACCTCATGCTTTAGAAGTGGGTCACTCAAAGCATATCTAGAAGGACAAGGAAGCCCGGTTCCAAATTGGCCAATAACCTCCAAGATCATTTTGAAGCTATCCCTTTCAAAGGCATGAAAAGGAATCTCACTCTCATATGCCCACCTACTAATGAATTTATGGACCATTAATATTCTTTCTTTCCGGACAATATTGTTAAGATCAACATTTTTTCCCTTTCCCGCCTTCAAAGCTCCTTCGGGGTTTATTACGTTTGCAAAGTTATCCATGGGGCCTATAACATTTGGTTCCTTCGACCCTAAAGAACTTTCTACTTCATGAAATTCTTGTC